AAATCTAAAACACACAGAATAAGAGTAAGAGCAGTACTGATCTTGCTTCTGACATTAGCAGTACTTGCACCCACCAATCCTAATGACAAGTTGACAACTACCTACCACCACCTGAACAACCCAACTTTATTACACAAACTGACCCAACTTTATTACACAAACCGGCATTCATTGCATTAGATCTTAGAAAAAACTACACAAAAATTCAAACATACTTAATGAGCCTACTTAGTGTAATAAATAAATCACTTAGTGACAATATAGTGACAAGAAGCAAACAATTTAATGTCATTTTTATTACATTGACGATTGACTGCAGTCTACTTAATGAACCTATAAGTAGTTTGATGTTAAGCACAAAATAAGTAATTCATACGGTTACAATTACTCAATACTAAATTACTAAAATACTTGTAAGAATATCTACTATATTTCAGATGCTTGGCTAAAGATTTGCGTAACTACCTATTTTCCAAACTGCTTTGTCTAGCCTATAGAGTTTTTATCTCTTTGACGCAGTAGATAAAGTTTAGCCTAAGAATTTTTATCCCTTGGTGCAGTAAATGGAACGGCAAACGCTATAAATAGAGAGTACTGCACCGACACAACACACTGCCTAGTGTTTTCACACATGTTGTCTTACACATTTAGAGTTTATCCACTAATAACCCTTATTAAAAAAATCAGCTTAAAAATAGAACTAAGCATCAATTTCAAACAACTAATCATATGCCTATATTTAAAACAACTCCATTTCATATATTTGACTACCCAATGCAAAAGAATAATGTTGATAAATTTATTAAAGGATAATGATTCTCTAAGCCTTAAAACCTAACCAAGAAGCCTGGCCAAGGAATTTTCATCAATCCATTATAGGTTAAAGTTTTAGATCTATGTAGCATTGACCTTTTTAAAAACCTAAAATCAGTTGTTGCCATCACACTATCTAAAAAGAAGCTAATGAGGCAAAAGCAACATTTTTCATATTAGAGCATGAAAGAAAAAAATAAAAGGCATCAGTTCTCCAAGGTGATTTAGCATCACCGAAACATCAAATGCAAATTACCCCTTTGTTATGAGATTCATCATATGCCCATGAAAAAGAAAATAAGAAACATAAACATACTCACACTCACACATACATACATACATATATTATACAAAGATTTTAGTTTGTGTGTGATGAATTGTGTGTTTGAATCTCATATTCCCATGAAAAAGAAAATAATAATAAACTTACATACACACAGATACATATATATATATATATATATATATATATATATATATATATATATATATATATATTATATTATACAGAGATTTGCGTTTGTGCGTGATGAATTGTGTGTTTTGGATCTGGGAAGATAGAGACAATCAGAACCGTCGGGATTCATTATTAACATCATACAGTAATATGTCAGTGGATTGACAGACCAGTGAATTTCTTCGTCACCTCGTCTTTTTCCTCCAAAATTTCAGATAAAAAAACTAATCACAAAAAGGCTTGTATTCAGAAGAAATCCTAAAATCACTAGCAAAAAAAAGAAGAGGATTTAAAACTAGATTAAAATAATAGTTGGTGAGTTTTGTGTTCAGAACTTCTTAGAGGATAGTGTGCCATCACAGACAGTGTCATGAGAGACACTATCTTTGGAACACGAAAATTAGATCTTCACAGCACATCATGTCTATCAAATATTCAGGAAAAAAAAAAAAAAAAAATCCCTTATAAAAACAATATATATATATATATATATATATATATATATATATATAAGCAAATCCAACATTGGAATAACTATCTCAGAAAATCTTCCTTCTAGCAAACTTTCTTTACGGGTAAAAATTCCATTTCTGCACTAGTCTATTTTCTTATACCAGAATCATAAGGTAAGATTGTAAACAAATTTCTAAAATATCATGCAAGATGATATCTGTGTTGGTAGGAAAATGTGCATGTGAGATAAGGTCACCTTTTTTATTATATTCATTTTCATCTTTTATATTCTATTTATTAATATATATTTTTAAAATTGCAAAGCAAGTTGGGCAAGTCCAGCTTAAATAGCGCTCTTTGGGCCTCAACTGGGATACACACACTGAGCAATAGCCCAGCGAGCAAAGCGAATACCCCAAAACCTAGAAAAATGATTGGCAATCCAAATTATTCTACGAAGTAAGATGATCATGAAGCAGTTCTGCTTGATAGTTGTTCAGCTAAATGTCTACAAGTTACTATAATTTTTTTTTCTTTTTCTTTTTCTTTTTCTTTTTCCATTTCATTTTCACTCAGATAAGCAAAAAACAATTCCAAATAAGACCTTAAACATAGCCATTCCATTCAAAATACCCGGACCACAACTGACTAGGACTCGAAACACGTGTAAAAATAGAATAATTGGCTCAATCACGACCAACCAACGGTACCCATTACAAGAGGCAAGTACCTGCAGATATCGACTTCTATCTACTGCTCAATCTAGAAGAGGGCGAATCTCTAAAAAAAATTATAGAAAATTAGATATAAGTAATGAAACCCAAACAAAATTATTCTAAACTATAAAGTACTGACAAAATGAATAATTCCCAAATTTAATACTTACATGCTAATAAGTAACCATTTGAGAATTATTAAGTAATGCCTTTCTTATAATGAATTATTTTATATTAAAACAACTTTACACTTTAAATTTGCTACTAAAATCCCTGATTGGAATTTGTTTATTGCATCTAGAGAGTGTTTTGGCCAATGGCAAGTCTTTATGGACAATGGCTTGCACTTGGTGTGGGCTTCTCCATTTGGTGGAGCCCACACCAAATTCCACACTCCACTTGTAGAGTGCAGTATACCAAGGCCCCAAAGTGAACCCTTGAGTATATTTTGTTTTTTAAAAATGATGAGTGATGGTGTGTGGAACCTAAAAATAATAAAATAATAAAGTGGTGAGCGGGAGAGAGCACTAGGAGGATGGACTCTCCAAATAAAGTGTAGAGCCAATTTTTGCAAACAGAATGCTCTAAACCCTAAAACATCTTCTTCGAGAACCTACATAGAGATATACACTCTAGTCCTACACATTTTATATTTCTAGATTCCCACGAATTTAGGCTTAGAAATCTCAAATAAAATGATGTGGTCTCATACACAAAGGCCAATACTTTCTTCCAATCTTCAATATCACATTTAGAGCATCTGTGTGGAAGGACGCAAATTGGCTCCACAATTGCTAACGTGGCTCTACACTTTTTTTTTGGAAAGTCCTTCCTCTTGGTGTGCACTCTTCTCTTCCACTCTCCACTTTATTATTTTTTGGTCCTATACTTTTTATTATTTGTCTCACACACAATCACTTTTTTTATAAAAAAAACAAAAAATATACACAAGGGCCCACTTTAGGCCCTTGGTCATACATCAAGGGCGCTACTCCACAAGTGGAGGGTGGAATTTGGTGTGGACAACACCAAATGGAGAAGCCTAACCCAAGGGATTTAATTCGTTACAGTGCAAGCCATTGGCCGAAAAGGCTTGTGATGCTCTTAGATCGTAGGAACTCCAAGCCCTTGCTTGCTAGATCTACTCTTCCTTATACCACAGTATAGATCCACCAATCTTCAAATGTCCAAAGATGTCATTTGTAATGAAATGAGTATTTGATGTTTTGGGAAGCATGAAAACTTTTGATGCAGAGATGAAAATCCTTTTCAAAAAAAAAACCTTCAAGACTGTATCTCCTTCAGCTTTCAACATCTATGCTCTCCTTTCCGTGATCTACTTTCTCACTTCTTTCCCATTGTAGATATTTTTAAAGCTTAAACTTGACTTGTAAGAGATTGGACAGAGAATTTTGTGGAAGACTTGAATGAATAATTTTAAAGAGAGAAATTCTCTTGTGGGATGCATTTAGGGTTTATAAACTCTAAATACAATATCTTCTAAAAGGATCTAGCAAGGGATCCAAATCCATAAGACATTTATTTTTGTGACTTTTTATCGTTTTTCCTGCTTTAAAATCATAGCTATTTTGTTTAGACTTCTTTAAAATACTCAATTAAAGCAACTTAAAAGATTTCAAATCTTCATCTCTCTAAATTAAGATCTAAATTAACCAACCGATACCATAAGATTTAAAGTACCCAAGCGGTAACTTACGTTATGGCAGAATGTGGTTTCACAAAATTTTGATATGGTCATAATTGAGAGGGAATCTAATAATATCAATTCATTTAAATTGTTTACTGAGAGAAAATATAATCACTTCATTTATTTAAACACATCAAACAACTTAACCAACACACAATACCAAAGGATGTGCCAGATATTGGCATTAGGCAACTTACCCCAAGTATTAGAGATCCTCTCCGGCAACATAATGGAGTCAGATCCAGTACTTAAAACTTATCAATCCTAATCAGGACTACCTGAAATACACAACGTTGTTACATAATGTAAACTTGGTTAAATGAGATCGTAGAAACAACATTGTTACAACTTAAGCTACAATGCCATACATAAGAAGATGACTGAAAAAAAAAACAAATAAATTAAGCAAACCTTATCTTCAAGGAAGTGAAACTGGAACTGAGAGCATTATGATAAAATTTAGAATATGCACATCCCATCAGTAGCAAGCTTCACAAGTAGCGAATGTAAAGATTTAAGTGATACAAAGCCACCTTATTGCAACCAATGTCAAGATAGAGAAGTTTTAAGACTTTAAGTCATTGCCTACAACATCCGCTATTGCACAATTAAATGTTCCAAAGGCAAAATATTCAAAAACCCTTGAAAGTACTTCATGTTAGGTCTAAAACAAATACCTCACATGGGTATCAAGCATTGTTAATTCAGAAGAACCCAATTAATTAAACCAAAATCACAAAAATGTTTACAATAATATATTTTACTTAGTCCATAAATCTTTCAAATAGCTAAATATGTCACTAATGTACATGGGAAAAAAAATAACATACCTGTAGTAATTGGCAACATAATGTAAAAGATTAACTTCATTTTAAACTCATAAAATTCAAATTCTGTTTTTACTATAATAACACCATTCATAATAATATTATTAAAATCTAAAAAAATTGTTGTCATCACATTAGGTTTTGTGTTCAATCTGGCAGTTACCACCAAAGCAACTGCTAACATCTGGCATGGAGCCAAACAATCTCTGTGAACTCCTTTGAAAATTCTTTGGTTTCTCTCCATCATCCACAAATGGTAGACTGTGGCAGATAGGGCCAGTTTGTTGATGTTGTTGCTCTCCAATGGAATGCAGCCCAATGATTAGGTTGTACCCAAATTGAGCAACGATAGTACAATTTATATAGACCAAAGAACAGTTCATCAATTCATAATAAGCTTGAAATAAAGACAATATGAGCAAAACTCGGAAGATGCAACAGCAATTGCCTCTTACCATCAAACAACCCTTGGACGGCTCTAATAGCACAGGAAAACCAAGGGACTCACTCACTATCCATACACATTACACACACTTCTAAATAAAGTGAGAAAGCATACTCCCTCAACAAAATCTCTCAATAGCTCAGGTTACAGTCCCCGAGACTACCACAATGACTACCTCCTACTTGCTGCAAAACCTATGGGCATGGTATATTGAGGGGCTTCTCCATAGCCAAAAATTGATCCACCCAAGCACACTTTTCTTGATCCAGCTGGTCACTGTCAAACTCGAAATCATAGTCTGGACGCTCAATGGGTCGTCCATCAGACCCGCATATCTGGAGATTGTCCATGTCATAGTTCCCAATATAGTCAAGATTGTCCCTTAAATATTGTCCAAAACCATTTTCCGCAAAGATCAACTCAAGCTCCAGTGCATAGTCCAGGCCCTCCCCAATTGGAAGAGACGTCAATGGGGCATCCACAGAAACCAAATTGGGCACTTGCTGCTCACCAACACTGGCAACATCTTTCGCCATATCATTGCATTCGCCATTCATGTGTGATGACAAAGCCGAGACAGTAGTTGAAGACTCCAATTCGAGAACAGATGACGGAGACGTTGTGTGCGGCATTATACTGTCATCAGAAATAGTGGGCTTTTGAGATTTTGGGACAGCCATCGAGGAAGATTGATTGCACCTCTTCTCGGGGGAAGAAATAGCCATTACAGATTCGAATTCAAGCTTCTTGTTATCGTAAGCATTTGCAGCTTCTTCTGCCGTATTATAGGTACCCAACCAAACCTTCTTTCTTTGGAAGGGATCCCGGATTTCGGCAGCCCATCTTCCCCATTTCCTCTGTCGAATGCCTCTGTGTTTCGGGCCAGATTCTCCCTGTTGGTTCAAAGTCTTGGTCAAAACCCTCTTTCTAAGGTTTTTGCAGCCATTGTTGCTATCTGTTTTCATTGGTTTAATCTGCTGATGACTACCCATTGGGAGATTAATCTCTCTAATGAAACGATTTGATTTGCAAGGCTCATCATCGGACGAATCAGTGGCGTCATCATCGTAACAGAACACCCGAAGATTCCTCATGGGTTTGCCCATTTTTTCACAAGGTTTCGATCTTTTCCTTGATTTCTTGCCCTGCTTATCTCCATTAAGTCTTCCATTATCTAGATGATGTGGATGTACCTCAGAAAGTACCATCTTTGCCAAGATGTATCCTCTCCAAAACCCACAAAATAGGGAACAAAAACAGAACCAGAAGGGAAGAATCCTTCTAAAGATTAGAGATTTGTCAGGCAAGAGGCCGAACAAAATCGCTTATCTGCAACCAAAACCCCAACAAAAACGGCCCACTTCAAATCAGTGCACATGATCGTGCACAAAATCATCAAAAATATACGCATATATGTATATATCTGTAAACATCCATATACCCAATAGGGTTTAAGAATTTTTTTTACCTTTTAGGCCTCAAACGCGTAGAAATTGCGAAATTGGTGTAGTGGAGAGCTAAGAACAATGAGGAGACACAATGCCAGAGCTTCAACGCCCGAGTCACCAACAATTCGGATCTGGAAGACATAAATATTTTCCTCGCAAATCCCTCTTCCTGGTTCTTGAGAAAAAGGAGAAAAAATGTCTCAGATATCAAGAATTCTCAAACCCTCTAAAACCCTAAAAAGTCTAGATTGAGAGAAGAAGCGTCGAGGATTTGAAATCTATGGCTCCGGTTTGAAATCTATGGCTCCGGTTTCTCTCTCTAGAATATGACAGAGATTGGTTGCAGAAATCCGAAGATGTCTCGGTTATGTTTTGTCTCGGTTATGTTTGTGTTTGCTTGTCTGTGTGTGTCCCTTTACCGCTGGTAAAAGACTGCGTGTTAAAAGGCTATTTAATTACTAGTAGTATATGAGGCCATAAACATAAACTCCTTCAGTTTGGTGCAATGGCAAAGGGAGGAAAGGGAAGGGAAGGTGATTAAAAAAGCGTATTTGGCATAAATGGTGGGAAGGAAAGGAAAGGTGATGGAGGGTTTTGGAAGGATAACTCAAGACATGAATAGTGCTTTTCTTAACCGCTCAAAAATGGGAGGAAATGAAAGAAAAGGGAAGGCTAGGGTTGATATGGGATCTCTGGCGCCAAAGTTATCCTTAAACAAAATCAAGATTTGGTTTGCAAAACAAGAATTACAGACCTTGATTAGTTGATTCAGAAACAAAATTAAAACCAAACCCATACATATATACAAGTTAGAAGTTGCAGAGAGAGAGGGGGACAAGCTTAGAGGAGAGACAGCGGCTGAAGCTTGCGAACGGCGAACCTAAACTGGAACAGCTGGCGATGGAAACCAAAAGATATGGGTTTTGATTTTTTGAACAATCTGAAATGATATGCTGATATGGGTTTTGATTTTGTAAATTTTGTAGTTTCCATTTGCAGAGAGAGAGAGGGCAAGTGTAGAGTTGAGAATGAGATTCACAGATGGAGGCCGAGGCTGAATTGATTTGTAGGGGCTGAATTTTTTTTTTTTTTTTTTTTTCTTTTCTTCTTGTGGGCTTAGAGACATTATATATATATAAGGGTATAATGGTCAATTTATTAAAATAATGCCCTTTCTTTTCTTTCCCCTTGTTTTTCCAAACGTGATTATTGTCCTTCCCTATCAAATTAAAATTATCTTTCCCTTCCCTTCCCTTTCCTTTCCTTCATAACTAAAGTTATCATTCCCCTTCAAACCCACCCTACCAACACATAGCCTTAGAGCAACTCCAATGCTCTTCTATATTGGGCTGCTAAACTCAAAATATGAGAGGGGGTGAAAAAAGGGCTCTCCAATGGACTCTCATTTGGGCCCTCAAATTTTAACATTCTCAATTTTCCTCTCAAATGTAACAGCTGTCAATTTTTTTTGGCAAGTCTCTTATTTCTCTATACGACGTAGTTTAATCTCTCTCTCCCTCAATCCTATCAGCCTTTTCTCTATACCTTTCGTTGCATTCTATCGGTCCTTTTCAGTTGCCCTATCGTCTCTCTCCCTCTCATCTACAACTATCGACAATAATTGACGGTGACCGACACTTAAACGATTGGTAAATTCTAATGTTTTTTTTTTTTGATTATTTTTATATCAAATGAGATTTATCAGAGACTTTATGAACACGGGTAATAGAAAACACTTGCCATAATATTGTCTTAAAACTCTATTTATTGATTTCTTTTTCTTTCTTTTTTTTGTAATTGTTTGTTGAGTTCTATTCTCTTATTAGTCTGGATGTAGTTCTCTTAAACTCCTTTGAATTTCTGAATTTAATTCCAAGACATTAGAATATTCTGAATTTCTGATTCATCAAATGATTGGTATTGTGGGTTCATACTCTTCATGCCCTTGGTAGAAAGGAGGAAGAGAAGTATCGGCAGTTATCTGTTGACCTTTGTAAGAGGCATAGACTTGTAGCTTGTCTTAGTATATGCCAACTTTCTCGTTTGGGTTCTTGGAGAGTAAAGTGAGTTGGATGGAGGAGTTGAGAAGCTTGTCGTAGTATAATATGCCAATTAGCGTTGGGAGCAAACAATTCCCTAACAAATTTAAAATAAAAAATTGACTAAGAGGAGAAATTATTAAATGGGTAAATTTAAATCCTAACCACTTTCTACTTTTAATTTTGTGACCAAAAAAAAATTTATTTACAAGTGCGTGCATTTGTAATTGGACCACACCGTTGATAATTTAATTAGTATTTAAAATGAGAATTTTGGTATTTTCTTAATATTATCTCTTTATTCAGAGAACTTTCATTTTTCTTCTCAATATATTTTTGAAACATTGGTGTGTTACCCTCACATATCTATGTTCTCTGTTGCTATTGAATAGTTTTGTGTATCATACTTTTTTTTATTCACATAATCCGAATGGCACATAATATGAATGAGTAGATGAGATTGATAAACCAACTTGAATCATTTCATCCGAGGGAGATAGAAGAATTCTGAATGGAACTTATGAGAAAAGAGATAAATAATAATAATAATAATAAATAAATAAAATTGGACAAAGAAATGTGATGTTTTTTAAGAGATGTCTCGTCTTCATTTTGCATAGAATTGTAACAGGATAAGATGGTAATTACACACCATCATATCTAAGAAGGTAGGATAAATAATACAAAGTGAGAATTTGTATTGATTTGTCCTATTTTTTCTTCTTTTGCCCTGATTTTTTTTAATTTTTTTTTTTTTTTCAGTTTCAAAAATAAGTTGGTACAAGGCACGCAAAATCCTGAATTCAAATCTCTGTGTCATCTTAACAACCAAGAGAAAGTCACAAGTAAGAGCCAAATAATTTAAATATCTAAGATGAAGGCCACTTCTCAAACCCCAATGTTTATTAAAGAACCACTTCACGCAAGAATTCAGTGATGTGCGTTTGAATGACTGAAATTTTGCATTGATTGGCTCTCAGAAGTCATGAACCCTAACATTACCAGTTCAAAGAACAGATATTTCCAGTAAAAATATTTTCTAACAGGTATTAGTCATGCAATTTAGGTGCTTTTAATTACAGTATGCAATGCAGGGTAGACTGTTCTTCAGTTTCTGTTGCGCAGAATTCTACACAAAATCCAACATCAAGCTTGGTAAAGAATCACAAAGTCTGTAAAATAACATCAACATAACAACTCGAGGAACGAACAATGGGGACAACAACCGAGGATTTTATACAACGATGCCAAAATTTTGAGAAAATTTACAAGTACATATCATCATGAGAGGGATTACAGGAACATCTAGGGTTTCCAATTTCTGCTTCAGAGGAAGAAGAAGACTGTAATTCCATAACAACATCATAATCATGGTTGAGCCAAGATATTTATATACCTATATCATCTGTGGAGAGCCCAAATATCCTTGGTAAGCTATCGCAAAACTGAGCAATTAGAATATGATTCAACCTTAATTACTTTGGTATTGTATAATCCACAATGCCCACATTATGATACAACTAATGGAAGGGTGAAGTTCCCTTGTTTTCACAGTCATTGCACAATATATCCTGGATTCACCAAATTTATATTTATGTAGTATTTATTTAGCTACGGAAGGAAAGGAACCTAAGGATAGCAAAACGAAGAATAGACGATCTACCTGACAGCAATCTCTATATTCTTCTAGGTGCTTCTCAGAAGCTAATAAAGCGTCGAGCATGCCGAAGAATACCTAAGTAGAGATAAGCAACATGAACTTTATAAAATGGTATTCCATGTCATTTTTCAAATTTACTGAATGAGATGTGATTATGGTGTAGGAACCGAATAGTTTTCTTACACATTTTGTAACAAACTAGCATTTATCGAAGGAATTAGAATCAAAATACATTCGAAGTGGAATAGGGGTGCTGGAAGAGGATGACTGGATAGAAACTTAATTTTTGCATCAAAAGCACAAAGTGCTCATGAATTTGAATTTTAAGTGCACTTTCTATGTTTTGCTAAACTAGAATTCCAAAAAAAGAAAAATTAGGTTGTTCTAGCTATACAGTAGCAATTCCTTCTTAATAGGATTCAGCTCACACAGACACCATTATAGTTGATGAGATGTCAATGTAACTATGAGTAAGAAATTATGTAGAATGAATCATATGGTAATAGCGGAGAGAAGATTTGGGGATTTGGGGTTGTGTCGCATTGCTGAGAACTGAGAAAGTGAGAAGTGAAGTTTAACTTTAGGATTTACTGATATAGGTTTAAGGTATCACATATATATATATAAAAGTTATATAACGTAGTAACGGTTCGGTCTAAGCTGATCCAGTCCAGCAAGACCCTAAACCAAAACCTGAATGAAAAATTACAGTTTCATAATTTTAGGCCCATGACCGGAGCAAACAACTATACAACTAGACCAAACCGTCCGGTTTGGTTTTTCAGTTTACCGAATTTTTTGAACACTCCTAATATTTTTTAGCATTAGTGGTTTAATTAAGCCATCAATGCTCTAGCTAAATACTTTAATCCTTTGAGCTATAACCCTTTTCTAGTCTCCACAGTTTTTTTTATAGGTAAGTATAGACACACACATCTAATTCAGGTACACATCCTCTTTTCCTAAACAATAACTTGAACCTTTAATCTCCCATGTTTCATGTTGGCGAAGGAGGTGATACCACTTTAGCCATTTGGATATATGGAAAGCTGACATGTGGCGAGTTCTGATGGAACTTGCCACATCAGATTATCACTTCAGGAACATGAAAAGGAGAAGTGGTATAGGGACATTTTAATATAAGTAACTTTACTAGTTACTTTAAGCAAAATGCAAGAAACCACTAAGTTGTTGACATTATACGTGGAAACTGACATGTGAATGGAACATGCCACACCAAATATTGTTATTATTATAGCAATTCAACATTATCAAATATTGTTATTATTACAGCAATTCAACATTATTAAATCATAAGAATAACTTATAAATTATCAATTCCTAACAACATAATACTACTATACACATTCTGATAATTTATATTTCCAGCAATTATAATGATTAAAATCATAACCATGCATAAACATTAAACTCCGATGCTAAAACAATTTAAAGAAACCAAATTACAAGTTAATAAATGATTAAATCCCACGCTAACATGCATGTTTAAGATTCATGCTATTTAATCCACATACTATTGTTCACGAGTCTTAATAATATGTTCGGGGCCAAACGAAACACGTTCGAGCCAAAATCACGCATCAGCGCTCGAGTACTGCCCAAATAGCGCTCAAGTGCTGTTTCCAAGAAAATGGCGCTCGAGCCCTGTAAAACGATGCTCGAGCACTGTTTCGTGGAAACAACTAGGGAGGTCTGTTCTAAGTCCAAAAATCCATTTTTTTGGGTCCTAAAACATGTTATGTCACAATTAATGTCTAGTATTATTATAGAGCAAGTATACACAATTTAGTTCATTAAAAACATATATTTAAAGCATGAATTAGAAAATTCTTCCAAAGTATACATATATACATATACCCATATATATTATTGTTTTAGTCCGATTTAATCATGCTATCAGATTAATTTTTTCTGATCTAAATCCCTAAAGTCATACTAAGGCTATATAAAACACAAGATCAAAGGGAGAAGTGATGTGCACTAAGTGTTATCAATTATAAATACCACTTGCAATAGCACAAGTTCTTGTAGAAAACGGCTATGTAAGGATTATCAATCCACGAAGATTGCTAGCTTATGACAATCAAGATTATAAGATTATTTCCGAATTTAATTGAAAATTGTTGATTGGATGGTTATTTGTTACTTGCATAAACTGAAATAAATGCTTAAAAACATAATTTGAATTAAATGTAAAGAGATGGTATGAGTTGAGGTTAGGAGAATGACTTTACCATAACCCATGTAACCATGGTGATACGACCCGAGTGTATGCACAAAATAATGCACAACACTTTGAGTTTGAAAATTAGTATCAAGTGGGCAACATACTTTAAAATTATAAACCGCTTAACACCTATACTATGTAGTATGAGTGAGAAGGGATTGTCCCAAGAGATTATACGTGTTGGAATTTAATTTCAACCCTAATGTATCAATTGATTGCAAAGGAGGGTTGGGTTGGTTGATTACACTAAGATGCAATTTATTAAAATGCAATTAAATTAAAAC